GACCTGTCGAGGTGCAAGTTTGCCTTTGGTTGTAAAATTAACCATTTCCTTCACAAATGTGCTCAATTATAAGTCAGCGTTGGAGATTTACTTACAGGGTTGCCAAGAGTCACTCCCAGAAGAAACTCAGACGCCCACATCACACACCCCTTCAGAAAGCAAGCCTCGAGAATTTGATTCACCCCTGCGATTCAAAACTTCTGAAATGTGTCACCTCGAAACAGTTATAAATGTGGTTAAAGATATTATCTAACTCGACTTACCAAGACTAAAAAGCTTACACCTACTTCCTTGGAAAGTGCTTATTTATTTGGCAACTCCACGGTTTAGGGGAAGAAAAAAAAAAAAAAAACCAGAAAAGGAGTAAATCACTCCCTGTCTGAAGTCTGGTCCCTTCCCCCAATCTGTCATCTACTTCCTGTGTCGCAGGAGAGCATTTGCTAAATCCAGGTTGTCTCATACTTAACTGCCAATAAACCAGCTTCCACATAACTTCCAGACAGCTGGGGAAAAGGTCCTCGGAGTTTTAGTCATGGTCCAGAAACACGCGTCCACACAAAAATTTGCAGCTGTCCTCTCTCTACAGTGCATTTTTAATGTGATTCGGGGGCCCCTGTTGTGAAACATCTGACAAAATGTAAAATCCTCTTAGATACCTTCGCGTTTACCCACTGTGCGTGTGTAAGAGAAGCTGCACCCGGCTCTCCCCACCACGGAATCCAGCCACTCTCTGCCTCCACAAAGGCACCTCGTGGGATGTAAGGAGGCATTCAAAACCTGGAAAGACTTCTACTGTAATCTTTAAAAGCACAGCCTCTGGTGCAACTATTAAAATGCGAGTTTTCTAAAGCAAATATTTTTTTAATGGCGTGCAGAACTGCAGCTATCGGGCTCTGCTAACAGAACAGCATTCTTGATCTGCCAGCCCCCGGAAAGCTTCCTGTAACTTTTTCACAGCTTGCTAAGAAACAGAAAGCGGACCAGCTTCCAGCAGTGACTCTAAATGAAATCCATATCAGTAAAATTAAAATCAAGGTGGAAAACTCTTAGCAAGAGCCGGGATTGTTTTCCTCCAAATCTTTTCTCAATCAGATAGGGGGCATCCGTGAAAGCTGCTTCCCTTCCAGAGTCAAAAGTTTCCAAAAACACTTCTTCCAGATAAGCACTTTCGGCTCCCAACTGCCTACCAGTTTGTTTCGGGGGGTTTCAGAAAGCTTTAATTTCAACAAACTGCAAAAGTGTTGGCATATTAAATTTGTAATCATTAAAATATGACTTATTGGGTGAAGGCTGAGCCCATAATCCAGACTGGAAACATTAAACCCCAACCTATAAAGATTAGCACGGAATTAATACTGTTGCATTGAGATTGAAATCTAAACATGCTCGCCATAAATATTTCTGAAGGAGATGAAAAACAATTAGCATAAATACCAAAGAAAGGCAAGAACACCTGTTCTTTTTCAGGGCGATAAGCATTTTATTGTTCTCTATTTAAAATGTAATGACCTGTGTAATTACAGTAATATTACATTGTTATGTAGGGACCTGGAATGTCACACTTTGAAAAGTGTTGTCAAAACAATCAGGGGGGAAGGTGGGGGGTGTGGGGACAACTGGGAAGGACCACCATTAACCCTTCACACACCGGGGTCTAAATCTTTTGTATTAGGAGGGATTACGTTGTTCGAATGAGCAAAAAAACATCCATTTTCACAAGCCAGAAAGTGAAGCTGTTGCCCAGCGAAATAAAACCCCCATGAATAGGCCCCTCTTGGTTTCCTTTAAATGTGGGATTTCAAGTTCAAAAATTAATTCAAGATGCTGCTTATTTATTTGTTCAACCTAGTAGCAAACAGCTCAGCTGAAAAGCAAATAACTTGGGATAAAAGAAGATGCAAGAGCTCTCATAGACAAGTCCTTAAGAAGAAACTTCTTAAAAACCTAATTGGAATTTTGACCCCCATATTCCTAGTTCTTGCGTTTGGCAAGAGGGAAAAAGAAATGTTAACTACTTTTCCCTCTCCACTTTAATGCGGTAACAGTATTCTTATCTTTAGTATACAAATGTTACCACAATTCTAATATTTGCAGTTCTATCATTTCCCATCTACTCGACAAGAGCTCTCCTTAATGCATTTTTGCCTTCGAATCTGTTCTTTTAAAAGACATTCTTATTACTGTGCCAAAGACTAAATTAAACGTGAAGCAGAAACCTTGGCGTTCTAATATAAAATTATCGCCATTAAGTTTGGAGACGTCTTCAGCAATTTCAGCATTATTCTCGAGATAAAGTATTACTCGCCCTAAGCCGACAGACTGATCCTCCTCAGTTCTTTACGTGCTTAAACAGAAAAGCAGAAAACAGAGGTTCCAAAGAGTTTGCTTTTTTAAAGGACGCAGCTTACAGGTACACTGATAAGTAAGAGAAAATGCAGCAACCACCACCACCACCAAGGAGGGTCGGGAAAAGCATAAAGCAAACAGCTAATTTGTCTTTACACCTTGTTCTCAAAACACACTCTATGAAGCACTAAGAATTTCAGATGAGCATGAAAAGACTGCTATCTTGCCTATAGATTCCTGAGGCAGCTGTATCAAATCTGGAATTGCAAGCTGGCCCTCTGATCCAAGACGTCAGGAGTGACACACAACAGCCTCCTATCCTCATTCCCATTGCTCTGCTTACCGGCCTAAATATCTTTAATTTGGGAGCCCGGAATCTAACCCAGGTACCAGATAGAAAGGAGGCAGGGGTGGTGCACACAAAGATGTCTGTGGGTGTTTGACATGCAAATACTAAAACTGCCTACTGAGTTCAGAAATGTCTTCTCAGGCTCAATCTGATGTCACAGCACAAGGCCACCCGCTATGTCCACAATTAAAATAACTAGACGCCGTCTATTCCTATAATGCCCACAAAGGGGACCAAACGTTGGGAGCCTTCCTTTTCGCACCGGGAAATCATTTATTTGCCTTTAACAATTTCCCTGTTTCCTAATTACAGCACAACACTAAGTGCTCAAGTTTTAGGAGACAGCGTGGCCAGACTGCCAGCGGTCACACACAGGGAGTTTTGCAAAGAGGAGAGAAAGCCAGCAATCCCGCCATCAAAGCTCAAAATTCAGATGGCTAAGTGGAGTTTAAAATATTACCAGGGAGGCTTCCATCCTCCTAGGGGGAGGGGGAAGAGGAAGAAAGTCTCAGGGTTACTTTGGAATGCTGTTGGGTCGGGTTGGTTAGTACACAAACCCTCGGATCCTGAGCCGAATGCCGCCGGTTTAGGATGTCCACAAGCTCCCAAGAAAAATACAACAGTGACCTGACTGTGCTTCCCCGGGAGCTGCAACCCCACAGCCCGGCCCCTGCAGCCTGAAGGATCCAGCCCTGCAAGAGCAGTTCGGGCTGAAAGGCTCTCCCAGCCTTACCCAAGCATGCAGTGGCCAGGACGCAGGGGAGGGGGGCGCGGATAACTATTTCTCTTTCTAGCCGTCAAAAATGACCAGTGTAGCACGCCCTTGCCATTTTCGCCAGGGCCAAAAAAACAAGCCAAACCTGATAGTTAATATTTTAATGCCTAAAAACACTTGTAGATCTGATCGACTCCCAGCCGGCAAGCCCTCGGCCATGAGCACCGAATTCCCGGCTGCTCAACAGCGGGCGCATTATTTCAAATTGCTGTCTCCAGTTACCAAAAAAAGAAAAAACAAAACTAGTGTGTGTCAGTAAGGGGTTGGGGGCTCAGACCTGAGTAGGTGCAAAATGACAACCCCGGGAAACCGGGCACAAACGTGAAGCGTTTGGGTCTAGAATCCTAATCCAGGCTTGGCAGAGGAAAAGTGGGACCGGGGACGGGGTTCAGGGTCAGGGCAGGGGGGGAGCAGAGGCCGGTAGGGGGAGGGGATGAGTCTTATTAACAAATGTCCGGGGTGGGCGCAGAACTCACGCTGCGGGAAGGCCCCCTCCTCCGGCGTAGCCTGACACCCCGCACTGCCCTAGGGCCCCCAAAGTTGGGCGGCCTGAGATCAGCAGCCCACTGCCTAAAAGAGAGGCGCCTTTGGCCTCCCTCACCTTCTGCACCCCCTCGTGCTCACACACTAGGGTCTCTGGCCCCTCAGGGCCTTAAGGGCCTTCTCGGAAGCAGCCAAGAGCAAACCCCACTGGAAGCCTCACGGCACCAAAATTCCCTAGAAATACACCGAGCGCGCTGGAGGAGGCCATGCCGGCCGCGCACCAACCAAGAGCCCCGCGCGGCCGGGGCCAGCCGGGAGCCGGGAGCCGGGCGCCGAGCCTGCCAGGGCGCCCCGGGCGCTCGCGGCCCTGCAAGGGTGGCCAAGAAAGGCCGCCCCGAGCCCCAAGTCAGCAAGGGGACCGGCCTGGGCGGCGTGACCTTCCAGGGGAAGGAGAGCGGGTGGCTGAGCGCCTGCGTCCGCCACTGGAAAGCTCCATACACACCGGCCGAAAAAGCAAGCCGGGGCGCCTCTCCAGGGCCCCAGGCTCGCGCGCGCCGGTTTCCGAGCGCAGCGCCGCGGGCAAGAGCCGCTCTCCACGCGCGCGGGGCCGGGCCGGGCCGGGCCGGGCCGGGCAGGGCGGCAGCCAAGGGGTTAACCGGGGAGAGCCCAAGACGCCCCAGAAGAGGGAAGGAAGAGAGCGCGAGAGGGAGCAAAGAAAGAGCCACACAGTCCCCTTCCCAGGGCGGAGACACAGACGCCACCACCGAAGGGGGAGGGGGGCCAGCGCAGAAAGAGCAAACTTCTGCCGGTTCCCCCCAACAAAGCCCTGCTGGGCCCGAAAGGGCTCCCCAACATCACGAGGCAGCAAGCTGAAAGCAAGAACATGGCGAAGTGCAAACAAATCCCGTCCACAAAAGGCAGAAAAGTTTGGAGAGTTTCGGCCGCCGGCCCGGCGGGGGAGGGGCGGGGCGGGGGAGGGGCGGGGGCGGGGGGCGCATGCGGGGCCCGCGGCGGGCGGGCGCGCGGGGGCGGCGCGCGGGCACTTACGGTTCGGGCGGTGGGCGAGAGCGATCCGTTGGGGAGGTAGGGGCTCGTCAGGTCGGGGATCATGATGAAGGGGTAGCCGGGATACGGCGGCCCCTTAAAGAGCCCTCCATCTTGCCTCTTGGCCGCTAACATGGCGGGGCGGCGGGGGACGGCGGGGCCGGCGAGCGGGAGAGAGGAGGAAAACTTTTTAGAAAGTGCCCCGAGGGGCCGCGCGCCCCGGCCGGGCCGGGCCGCGGGGCGCGCGGGGCGCCCGGGGCGCGCGGGGCGCGGGGGCGCGGGGCGCGGGGCGCGCGGGGTACTCACCTTCCTCCAAACTTTCCCGGGATTTGTCGCGGAAACTTTCGGCGCGCGGCGGGGGCCGTCGTTCCGCCTTCCCGGAGGGGCGCGCGCCGCGGAGAGGGGGCGCGGGAGAAGGAGAGCCGGGGGGGAGAGAGACAGGGTTACCCGGCGGCCGCGGGCCCCGCGCGCCCCGCGCCCCGCGCGCCCCGGCCGGGCCGGGCCGGCCGGGCCGGGCCCCGCGCGTCCCCCCGCGGGCCCCGCGCGCCCGGCCCGGGGCGCCCTCCCCGCCGGCCGGGGGGTCCCCTTACCTCGGAGTCGGACGAGCTGTTCTGATTCGTTTCTGATTCATTGACGAGCGACGACTTGACATCGGCCAGATCCCGCTCGGCCGCGGCGTTCTCGGAGCTCTTCTCCTCCTGCTCGCCCTCGTCTTTGAAGGCGATGAGCTCGTCGTTGGCGCCCAGGTCATCCCCGCCACCGCCGTTCAGCTGCGGCATGTTCTTCCCCCACCAGCAGCAATTTTGGAGGAAAAACGAAGGAGGAAGAAAAGCAAAAAAAAAAAAAAATACCCCCAAAAGTTGGGGCCCCCCCAAAAAAAAAAAGATATTGCAAGAAAAAGGCGAGTCCAAGGTGAACTTTTTTTTCCTGCTTTGGGGTCTTGTGCTCCTGGGGAGGGGAGCGGGGGGGGAGGGGAGGTCTTCTGCACGCGCGAGTTAGGGTTTCCTTTTTTCTCTCGTTCCCCGGGATCCGATCAATGTGCAAAAAAATAATAAATAAAAAAGGGGGGCAAGAAAAAAAACACACCAACAACAACAAGAAGTCAGCTCTAAAGCGCGCAGGGGGGGGAAGCCGAGGCTACAGGAGGAGCTCGTGCCGCTCGGATTTGAGTGAGTTGAAGTTAGACTGAGAGCTTTTCAGTTCAAAGGCGGCGCTGATTGACAGATAGAAAAAGGGGGATCGAAATCCGGAGGAACGGAGTAGTCTGGGAGCGGAGATTATTGACAGGGCGAGAGGAGCCCGCTCGCTTAATGAGATGCGGGGGGCGGGGCCCCGGCGGTGACGTGTGCATAAATAAACAGCCGCGGGGGGCGGGGCGGGGCGGCGAACAATGATCCTTTCGGGCGCCGGGGCCGGGAGGGGGGGGGGGGGGGAGGGGGGCGGAGGCCTGCGCGGAGGGTGTGCGGGCCCCGGCGTCGGGGCGAGGGTGCTGGGGCGGGCGCGGGGGGGGCGGGGGGTGGCCTCGGAAAGACAATGCGGAGTCGGGGAGCAGGGGAGGGGAGGGGCAGGGGAGGGGAGGGGAGGGGCAGGGGGAGGAGGGCAGGGGGGTGGCGACCGAATCTGGAATCCGAGCCGGGCTAGGCGGAAGGAAAGCCCACTTCGGGGGCGGGGAGGGGGTGAGGCCCAGAAAAAGTGCACTTGAGAAATATTAGAAATTAGGCTCAAGGAAGGGGAAAAGGAGCGAGTTTTGTGCAGAACGGGAGAGCTCAGTGGCTCATGCTGCAGGGAAACCAGCCACCCCTGGGCGGGACGCAGCCCAAGTGGGCAAAAAGAAAGCTCGTCCTGCACTCTGGGAGCTCGGGAAGTGCAGGGCTGGGCAAAGTTCCTGGTCCTCTGCAGTGAGAGAGGCTGTTCACCCACGAGGTCTCCCCTCCCCTTTTTGTTGATTGATAGCGAGCCCTTTCTTTAGATGTGGAATCTCACTGGAGTAAATATGTCAGGGTGATTCTTTCTCCAAAAAAAAAAAAAAAATCAAATACTGTAATGCTTGTCAGGGACATTAAAAATAGACTGAAGAAAAGATGCATAATTCTTTTTAATGAGGAATGTTGTCTCTCTCTTTTTTTTGAAATGACGTTGGAGGTGATAGGAAATGAGCTCGGATTCAAAGTCCTTTCTGACTTTGGAGGTGAAAAGTTTGGGCGTTAACACTCCACGGAAAATAAAACTGAAAGTTCACCAGCCCTGGGATGAGTGGTGCTGGAGGCTTTCTCCCAGGGGGTCTGAAATGAAACCCCAGAAGGACCAACCGAAATTATCAAGATGTAGACCAGGCTGGCAGGAAATTGCCAACCTAGCTGATGCTGGAAGGCCTCAGGGAGGAGGTGGAGAACCTGGGGCAGGTATTTGTGGATTTTTAGGCACTCCCCTCCGGAACAGTTGATTTGCTGCAAAATGGGGACCAGGATTGTGTTCAAGGGGGAAAGACCTGGCTCCCTAAACTGTGTCCCTGGATGAAAAAAAAAGCAAAACACTCCTTTTTTTTTTTTTTTTTTTAACAAATAGCCATGTCAAGTGGACTGGAAACTACAACATGAAAAGGGCAAAGAAAACCAGAACAAAAAATCAGGAGAAATTAGCCAGTTGTCTGTTCGCCTGGTGTCCATGATGTACTCAGCCATCCCCACCATACCTAAAAATAATCTCACCTGCTTCTGTTTTTCAGTTGACCCATCAGCACCTAAGGTGTCCAAAAGAAAGCAAATTTACCATGTAATATTTAGAGTTTGGGGTTTCAGCAAAACCATTTTACTGGCTAAGGTAACTCTGAAAGAAGACTACTAAAAATAATACCAAGATTGACAAGGCCAGTGAATTCCCCTGCACTGGAAAAAATTCACCACCACATTTGCACACTAAAGAGTAAAATGCAGGCAACATAAAAATGTGGTGGGGAGGAGGGGAGGGGGTGGTCAGCAGAGGAGAATCACTGTAACTCCCAACTTTAATATTAATCAGAAAATCAGAAGTAGAGTGAGAAGGAGCCTGGAAAGAAGTAAAACAAATGTGTACATTTAATCAGACAGGATTGCATAGGATACAAAGCACAGGGCTAATTAGTCTCAGCAGGTAGGACTAACCTTCAGGCTTCATAAATAAATAAGGCGGGCGCAGTGTCTAAGAGTGAGAGGGGAGACAGAAAGGGGATTATTTCAAGACACCAAGTAAAAACATGAAGAATGAAATGCTTCACTGTTAAATCCATGTACAAATGGATTTAACAGTTTCCTTTTTTCAGGTCTTTTCACTCGGTTGCCTTTAGATTTACACATTCATCGAATGTCCGTAGCTTTTCACACTTGCTAATTGTCACCTGTACACTGAGTGTGCCTGAGTCTGGAGTCTGTGTGTGTGCATTGGAGACTTTCCTCAGGCCTGTTTTAAGGGCTTGTTTAAACTGGAACACATTTATAGTAACTCAATTTTATGGCAATTTCTTTGTCCTGTGTGGTGGTATTTTTTTTAATCTAGCCCTGATCTGAATTAAGTTGGATAATGAGGTCTTCTATGTCTTTTATAGGACTACCTGGGTACTAAAAACTCATAAATATACTGAGTTGAAATTTTAAAGAGTGCACTTATTGTTTTTAATGTCCTGGCCTGCATTTTTATCATATGTAAATAAGAAGGGCTTTCTTCCATGATTAGTAACCTCATCCATTTTGGCATATCCTTATATTTCTCATTCAAAGGAAATGCTTGAATCTTTCCTTCTTTAAATCTCTGATTTAATTAAGCAATTAAAAGTTACTCCGTAATAGCACATGTGTCACATTTAATTTTGTTGCTTAGTGCCATAAAAAGGCTTGGGGAGACCAGGAAGATCTCAGAGGGTCAGTATCTCTGAAACGCTTTCAGATGATGCCTGGGAAGCGGGAAGTACGTGGAAGTGCAGTTGCAAAAAAAGAAGGTCGTGTGTGTGTGTGTGTGTGTGTGTGTGTGTGTGTGTGTGTGTGTGTGTGTGTAGTAAGTCAAGCTGGCTCCCAATGTGGACACATATTGTATAGACTTGGTGGTGGAATTTTCAACGGCTATTAGCTTGGGCCCAGGTGCTGAGGTCACTGATCTCTCTAGGTACTGAGGGCTCCTGGTTTGCAAGACCTAGAATTCCACCTCAACATCAGGGGTTCTAAAAATGGGAAGGAAATTGGACCAGTTCTAACTTCAGCCTGAGCCAAGGAATTTTACCACCTTGGCCTATGCATATTGGGGATGAGGAAGAATGCAGGGGAGTTGTGACCCCTTCTCTTGGAACCCGTTTTTCGGGAAGGCCTAGAGCCTGAACATTCTCTTTTCACCTGCTTCTCCTCATTTATTGCCCTTCAGCTTCTTCGTTTCTCTGTTTATCTTCCCCTTCAGCAGCACTGTTAGTACATCTTCATGGCTCTGTGTTGATATTCACACTCTGCATCTTATCTTAAAAAATGAAGTGAGGGGCCTCCCCGGTGGCGCAGCGGTTGAGCGCTGGGTTGCGAAGCTGCCTGCGGCCTCTGCGGCGCCGGTTCGATCCCCGGCTGCTCCCCGGCCACCGGAGGAGGATCCCACATGGTGCGCAGACCTCTCCTGCCACCCGCTGCTCCCCTCAGCAGTGTACTTCAGTCCTTCTGCCTGCTCTGCTCCCCACTCTGGCTCTGGTGAATTCTCTCACCCTCCCGCGCTTCTGTCTGTACCCAGTGCATGTATAAACAAAAACAAACAAATAAAATAAATAAAATAAAAACATGCCTCTATATATAAAAAAAAAAAAAAAAAAAAAATGAAGTGAGGGCCTCCCTGGTGGCGCAAGGGGTTAAGCACCACACTATGAAGCAATCCCACATGGCGCAGCAGACTTCTCCTGTCTTGCCCGCTGCTCCCTTCAGCAGTATATTTCAGTCCATCTGCCTGTTCTGTTCCCCACTCTGTCTCTGGTGAATCCTCTCACCCCCACACCTCTGGCCTGTACCCCAGCTCTTGTATGCATAAATAAATAGATCTCTAAAAAAAGAATGAAGTGACGGGCCTCGCTGGTGGCGCAAGGGGTTAAGTCATAACCTATGAAGCAATCCGCAACCTCCAACGCATGAGTTCTATTCCCCGGCCAGGAGCTGACCCACATGGTACAGCAGACCTCTCTTGTCTCGCCCCGCAGCTCCCCTCAGCAGTGTATTTCAGTCAATCTCCCTGTTCTGTTCCGTACTCATACTCTGTCTCTAGTGAATCCTCTCCCCTGCACCCCCGCACTCTGGCCTGTACCCCCAGATTACCTATGGCCCTTAATTCTGTCTCACCTGACAGGTGAGGTGGTTAGAGTGAATGGTTTCTTAGGTCCAACTTAACATTCAGAGGGTCCATTATTCCATAATTTCAATTCATACCTCTGTTATGCTAGGAGGTTTACCAACACACCAGCAAAAGAGAAATCATATTGGAAGTTGACTTCGGGATTTAGGAAAAAACACAGATCGCCTGCTCAGATTCATACATGCTGATGACCATGCTCAGCAATCCCGATCCCTCAGCAAGACTCTACTAAATTACCCTTGACAGTGATGGGTATGTGTGGGTACATGTTGTGTGTGATTTTTCTTTAAAGATCTGGTCCCCAAGATGGATGATCTGCTACCCACTGTGTTTGGCTTACCTGTGCAGAGAGTGTGCTGACTGAGGGAAGCCAAAAAAAGAATCTGAAAACATAAGGAAGCTATAAAATGGGGGGATGTTTAGAAGCCAAAGTCTTGCTTTCAGTAAGGTTTTCTGTTTACTTTTTGTTCTTCATCTGTGATGGTTCCTCGTTGGACCTTGAGGAAAGCTATTCCCTTAGCCAACATAGGCATTTTAAAAACTGGACACCCAAGAGTTCAATCTTGGGCAAAACGGGCCTATTCCATAGGTCTGGTGTTTCCCTGAGTGATCAGGGAAGATGGAAAGGAACACACCCTCTTCCTGAAACTGAGGAACTGTGTCCTGTGCTGGCATTTTTCTGATGTGTCAGGCTTGATGACCTTGCTTCCACAGGTCCAGGTAATAAAGTGGCAATTATGCCTGGTCTGTGGGTTAATGGGGAGATGTGTGCATTTGTACAGGGTTTATCACCTGCCTTCACAAGCTGATCACTTACCGCTATAAGCATTCGTGACAGGAGCAGCCTTTTGGAAGACGTCCGTCCTCCATAAATATACCTTTCTTATTGACAAGGTGTCTTTTAACCCTAATAGTCATGGAAGAAGGCCAATAAATGAAACATTTACTGCATAACTTGCCTTAT